GCCATTCCTTTGGTGAGTTCGACCAGTCTCACTGTTTTCAATACCATCTACGTACAAATAATTCCCAAGTAAGGGAATCCTATCTTCAAGCCAGACTCTGCCCATGAAATCCATACTCACTCATGCAATCACATTTCAACCAAAGTGAAGTATGTCCAAAACCAAACTTCTCCTCACCCCATCCCAAACCTACCTCTCACAGTCTTTCCTGTCTCAATAGCTCCATGCTTTCAGCTGCCCACGCCAAAAAACCCTGAAATTATCCCTGACTCCTCTTTCTTTCACAACTCATACCCCATACGAAGGCAAATCCCACTGAGTCTACATTAAAAATATACCTAGAAACAGATGACTTTTAACAACCTCTACTGCTTCCACCCAGGCCCTAACCATCACCAACTAATCAGAATTACAGCAACAAACTCCAACAGCTCTGCTCTGTCCCTAACAGACCATTTTCTACAAAGAACCAGAGGGTTTTTAAAACAAAAGTCAGATCACGTTCGCTTCTCTGTTCAAAACCCTTCAGGAGTTCCCAGGTCAGTCAAGGTAACACTGTCAACCAAGAGGGTCAACAGCAGAATACAAGGCCCTGTGTGACCTGACCTGCTCCCTTTCTAACCTCATGTCCTCCCGATCTCTCCCTCTCCCCACTGCTCCAGCTACCCTGGCCACCCTGCTGGTCTTCAAATGGGACAAGCATGCTTCTACCTCAAGGTTCCCTCTGCCCAGAACACTCTTCCTCCATGTTCACATGGCTCCCTCCCTCACCTCTTTTCAGACTTCTGCAAACTGTCACATTATCCAAGAGGTCTTCCAAACTACCCTGCATAAAACAGCACCCCACCCCCATCCTGGTACTCCTTATCCCCCACCCTCTGCATTTCCCACCACTGTATTCAACAGCACCCAACGTACATACACATATTTGTTTATTACTTATATATATACATTTTTCATTTATTATCCCCTTTGTCCCTAAGAACATAAATAACTCAAGGACAGAGACTAGATTTTATTCTCTATCGCCTCAGAGCTTAGAGCAGGGCCTGGCACATACTAGGTGCTCAAGACATATTTGAAGATTTGCCTCATTAAAAAGTAACATGTTGCTATATACATACATATATATATATGTGTGTGTGTGTGTGTGTGTGTATATACATATATATGTGTGTGTATATATATATACACATATATATTTTTTCTTTCTTTCTTTTAAGGAACATTTACATAACAAAAAAGAGCTTCCTGGAAGAAGCAGAAATAAACATCGATAGATGGTTTGGAGGATCAATGTAGATATAGATATCTCACACAGAGCAGAGCAAAACACCAGAGTTGGAACACAGGAGACAAATGATAAGAAAATTAAGCAACCTGTCCAAACATCCAATGTCTGAATAATACATGCACCAAAAGAGAGAATAAAACAATTCCAGGACACTTCCTACGACCGTGGCTGTGAGTTTCCTGACTGAGAGGAGCTCCTGAGGGCCAGCATAAAGGGTGGCCCATCACCACAAGAGCTCAGAACACCATGGACATGGAAGATCCAAGAAGCATCCAGAGAATGGAGAAATGAACTTCACACAAATAATCAAGGGTGGGAATAGCACTGAACTTCTTACCAGCACCAGTGGAAACCAGAAGACAATGGGGCAATGCTTCCAAAACATGGAACGATTTCAGGCTTGTTATCCTATGCCCATACAATTGTCAGTTAGGTGTAAAAGTAGAATCAGCCATTTTCAGACACGTAGGTTTCAAAACTATTTAGTGCCATGTTTTCTTTCCCAAGAAGCTACCAGAGGATGTGCTGCACAAAATGAGGGATTAACCAAGAAGGAGGAAGTCAGGAGATAGACAAGAGGAAGCCCAGGGGGAAGGTGAGGGGCGTCACACGGTGACAGGCTGGCCTTTCCAGGTCATGTCAAGAAGACTGTGAGGGAGAATTCCTCAAGAAATTACTAAACTTAGTAATGGACATGACTAGAGACAACTATTCAGAGGGACATCAAAACATTAAATGTGCATGCCCTCTGGCTTGGCAAGCCCACTTCTGAAACTGACTGTAAGAAAGTCATTTTACGAGGGGAAATGGCTGCATGCATTAGGATATTCACCGGTCACTGTTCATACTACCAAAAAATTAGAAACAATTACAATTTCATTCAATAATAGATAGACTAAGTAAAACATATACTGGAATACAATACAACCATAAAAGATCGAGTTATAGTCAACATTTACTAAGATGGGAAGATGTCAACTTCTGTCGAGTGCGGGGGAAGTTACAGAACGGCCAAATATCTTGTTTGTAGAAAAATTTTCATTTGCTGGAACCTCTTCTGCTCTGTCCTCACATGACCACGTAGCTTTCTCTCTCATTTTACTCAGGTTTTCCAATGTCTCCTCTTTAAATGGGCCTTATGAGACCACCTTTTCTAAAATAGCCTACTCCTCCCTGACAGCCTCGCCCTGGATTCTTTTACCCAACCATTTAGTACGTGATGAGGGAAATCGGATCTCCCAGGCCTGAATCCCAGCACCACCACCTGGCTAGGTGTGTGACAACAGCAAGTCATATAACGTTTCTGTGCTTTAATTTCCTCACATGACATACAAAAATAAGAATATACACCCAAAGTTCACATGCTGGGAGGAAAACCTGATTTCATGCGTGTTGTGTTTTCTTGGTATACGTTCAACATATGTTAATGATCCAAATTATCTCCCTTTTGCACTCTTCTAGATTATTTGAATTTTTCTCATGATGAAAATGTGTCTTTTGTACAAAAACAATAATGCTTTTCTTAAAAACGGTTTTATTAAAAAAAAAGAAAAGACAGAAAGGAAAGCAAAAGCACATACAATGCCACCACTTGTTAACTGTCAATATGTCCCCATCTGAGACCATCCTACCCCTCAGATGATAACTACCAAATTTTATTCTCTGCACGCACGCGCGCACACACACACACACACACACACACACACACACACACACACACACACACACCTTTTTATTCGATCAAATTGGGACCATGTCACTATTTTTTACTTTTCAACGTATTGAGGGCATTATTTTAACTGCTGCACAGCATTCTACACTACATGCACCAAGATTTAAACACTTTCCTCGTACAGCAGCACCCCATCTTCAGGGGATATGCTCCAATACCCCCTGTGGATGCCTGAAACCTCAAATAGTACCAAACCCCGTATGCACTATGTTTTTTCCTATACATACGTACCTATGATAAAATTTAATTTATAAATTAGGAATAGTAAGAAACTAACAACTTTAAATAATAAAATAAAATAACGACTGGAACACATTTTCTGTTTATGCCTTCCACCTACAAATTTCATACCTTTTCCATCTTAACTAGTGTGCATTGTGGCCGTAACTTTTACAGTTTGAGTTGCAACAGCAAAATTAACATGAACATTTTTCCTTCTTCACAAACTCACAGAGAGAAGATTCATTCTTACTGAGATCTTAGCAACGTCAGCATACAATTTATTTTCTTTCTTTATCAAGCCAAGGACTCAACTTTTCACTTAAAGGAGGCACTTTACAGCTTCTCTTTGGCATGCCCAAACTGTCACTACTCTTGCACTCTGGGGCCTTTACCAAGTCAAATACAGGTCAGTTGAACACAAGCGCTGTGATACTACAGCAGTGAGCTGATAACCTCAATGGCTGCTAAGTGACTAACGGGCAGGCAGTGTGTACAGGGTGAATATGCTGGACAGAAGGATGACTCTTGTCCCAGCAGGATGGAGCAGGATGGCATGAGATTTCATCACACTGCTCAGAGCACTGAGCAATTTAAAATATATTAACTGTTTATTTCTAGAATTTTCTGTTTCATATTTTTGGACCATGGTTGACCCAGGGGTAACTGAAACCATGGAAAGCAAAACCACAGATTAGGGAGGACTACTGTAACTGACATTCAGAGTGTCTTCAACTGTTTGCTACCACAATGCTACAATGAACATGAACACATACCCTTACATCCTCAACCTATTACGAGATTCCCAGGAGGGACTTAATCATAAGGAATGGCTTTTTTAATTGTTTTGGATTAAATATTAAATAGACATCAAAATATTTATAGAATTTATGTAAGGTACAAAACATAACAATACAATAATTACTGTATACCCACCACCCAGTTGAACTATCATATTTGATGCTACCCTTGTGCCCCACCCTGATGCCATGGCAGAGATATTGAGTTTTCATTTATCAATCTTTTAGTTTTTTTCTATTTGATAAAGGAAGCTAATCTCATTATTTCTTTATTTTTTATTTCTTTAATCACTGCAAAATTTAGTATCTTCTCATGGGCTTATTGGCTATTTGTAATTTGTATTTCTTTTTCTATAAATTGCTGTTCATCTCCTTTGTCCATTCTTCTGTTGGGTTGGTTGGGGCCTTCTGCTTTCTGATTTACAGAAACTCTTTGCATATTAGAGATATTAACCTACTGCTATTGCTCACATTGCAAATATACCATGTCTTTCTCATACAAAGTTGTACATTTATTTGTGGACAGCTCCATCAGTTTTCTTTCTGGCCTCTTGAGTTAGCAAGATCTTCCACATCCCAAATTTAGACTATTATTTTCTTATAACTTCTTTAAAATTTGTTTTCTATGTTTAGGTCTTTAATCAATGTTGACCTAATTTTAGTATATGGTGGGAAATGGGTTCTAACTTTATTTTCCTCCAAATGCACAGTCAGTTGTCCCAATAGCACTTACTGAATAATTTAACTTTTCTCCGTTGTTATAAAGATTTTATTATATGTCGTTTTCATATATATATGTGTACACATATGTCTGTATATATGTATGTGTATGTGTTTTCATACACATACACACACACACACACACACACACACACAGCTGTTTCAGACTTCATTCTCTCCCACTGCTATCTAAACTGGCTAACACAACACAGCTAAGTCAAAAGAAATCACTCACCTGTCCTATTTCATCAAAAGCCATGATTACCACAGCAGCTCCAAACTTCTTAATCTTCCTGGCCTTCTCCAAGAAGTCGTCCTCTCCCTCCTTCAGACTAATGCTATTGACAATGCACTTGCCCTGGCAGCACTTCAGCCCAGCTTCAATCACAGCAAAATTGGAAGAGTCGATGCACAGGGGCACCTGAGATCAGAAGGGCAAGAAAACCAGAGGCCATAAGTCACTGCAAATTCTCCTCCAAGAGCTCCCCAATATTCCCTATTTCTTCTTTAGAGAAACAGTAAACAAATAACAGCAGTGTGTCAGAAATAGGATTTTAATACATTTGTTTTTAAAGCCCAAAATACTTGGAGTAATCTCAGTCCTACAAGAGACACCATGCATGGGCCAGCAATTTACAACTCAAAGATGACCGCTAAACATCAGAATGGAATCAGCGAGGTCAGTCCATGGCCTCAGCACTAGCTACAACTTCAAGCGCCTAAACCCCAAGACGAACAATTCCAACAGGACTCAGACGTGCCTGATCGACTCAGGGATTCATGTTTAGCCTCAGGCCCTTTGGGAATAGCCCTATGGCCAAGTTATTCAAATACAGTCTTCACTTTAGAAAAACCAAGCTCCTGACTGGAGGGAAAAAAAAGAGTTTTAATACTCAACAAATGCACATAACTAAAACAAAAGACAAAATTGAAATGTGCACCTATGAAGAGGTTCCTTTTTCATTCTCACCTCTGTTCCAGGAGAGGTGAAAGGAAGGGCTTAAAGGAAGCCTTAGATTGGTACAAAGAAATGAAACGGGGCAGCTGATCTAGGCCCCACTATTTAATTAAGCTATTCAATAAATAATCAAGAGACCACCATGTTAGGCCCCACACAGGGTCAACAGTAAGGCAGACAGGTCTCTGGCTTCACTGAGCTTAGAAAAACAAATGATTAAGCAGTAATGACATAGACTGCGGTAGATGCTAGAGCACAAGGGAAGCACAGATGCCTGGAAAGCGTATTTCAGGGCACCAAACCCCGCCTATGAAACAGAAAGAGTCAACAGGGAGAATTCAGGGAAAGCTCCCCAGGCAGGAGACATTCCAACTGAAGACTGGAGAACAAGCAATCGGCAGCTTCCTAACCCCCATCTCCAAAGCAGAGCAAAAAAGGACAAGGACTCTACTGATCTTGCTTTTTCTTAGTATGCTAGCAATGCAAAGTTAGCTAGGAAAAGGGTCAGATGCAGTGGCGACACCAGGCCAATGCTTTAAAGCACTTACTGATAGTTTTGTGTCCCAACCCTACTGGTAAAAAAGTGCACGTAAAACATTTTTATGTTCCACCCCAATTGGCCAAACTTTGGCCCCCAATATATTTTGGTAGTAGGTCAAAACCAGGAATGATAAAAAAATCACTGCAGCATCCAGAACACTAAGCAATAATCTCCTAAGTTATAAGAGGTCGTTTAGAGCTGACGAGGTACTTTCATCTTTACAATCCACAAATCAGACAAAGCAGGTACAATTATCCCATTTTAGAGACGAGGAAGGAAACTAGAGTCAACAGATCATCGACTTGCCTGAGACTCTAAGGTGAGTCTAGCATCTTCCCACTACTTAGTGATAAATGACTGGCTCCAGCTCAGACTCTGACTTTGAATGAGTCATTTAGTTTCTCTGCACCTTAAATTCTAAAAACTATCTAATCCCAGAGAAGTAATGAGGCTTTTTAATAAAGAGATTAAAGATGTAAATGACAGATGGGCGAATGTGAATTCAGTGCTTATACCACAAGACCTCCAACTTAAGCATTTGCTGAAGCCTAAGAAAAAACTGACAGCCCAGCCTGAAAATGCAACTCCTAAAGCACTGGGAAGTTTCTTTGAAAAAGAACTTCAAAAATCACTCCTTATCACCACTTTAACGGCAGAGAAATGAGGCGAGATTTTTAAACTTTTTGAACCCACCTACAATTTTTTAAAAGACTGACACAAAAATTAACTTTTACCTTTTAAATGTAAAAGCTCACATAACACCTTGACTTAATCTTGTTTATATTTTTATAATAATCTGATAATCCTAAAAAGGACTCTTCTTCCTGCGGTAAGAAGAGTTAACTGAGTTCCTTGGTAGGAATGGAACCAATCGTTTGGCAGAAACAGGTCAGGAAGTCCTTCAGAGTGTGAAAAGCGGGTTCTCAGTCTGTCTAAACATCTAAGGAAATGCAATCAATTCTCATGACCAATCCCAGAAACTTTGGAAAGAGCCAAGCTAAAATCACAATTCTCTACTAAATCTGGTTTATATAGTATCCAGAAGGTTTCCATGAGTTGAGAAAACTGACAATCAGAAACCATCATGCTTTCAGTGTAGGAAAAGAGAAAACCAGCTCATGATTTGACAGATGAATGCGACAAATGGCAGAGTTAAATGAGAGACAGAAGGAGACAAGTAAATTCCCCTGATGAATATAAACGTTGCACAACCTTGGCGATGTCAGGCTCGGAAGCAATTAAGTTGCAAAACCTGGTCATTGCACTCGGCCCATCTAGCATGCCATCGTCCATGTTGATATCCAGCACCTGGGCACCCATTTCCACCTGCATTTTGGCAATGCTCAGGGCTGCCTGAGGGAAGAATGTGAGAGGAAGCAGCGTTAGGAGACGGTGACTTGAGAGAATCTAACAAAAGTAATCCCTCACCATACCCTAGCCAGGCTCCCTGACTATATATGCAACCAAAATCACCCTGTGGAACTTCTGAGCTGGGGAGGATCATGACGGGAACATATGGCGACAATGAACAGTAGGAAAATGAAGGGAAGAGGACCAACAGCACAACTGGTCAGGAACCAGGTCACCAGGTAACCAGGCCCTGTAATGTGCCAGCTGCAGGACTAAGAAGGAAGACACACTTCCGAGGTGCCAGAAAGTAATAATTAACAGGTCCATAAAGGGTGATAAATGGGTCTTCTCCTTGTGATGAAAATTAATTCTGTTCTGATACAGGTTTCTGGAACATCTATTACCTAAAGGTTGCAAAACCTTCAAGTGAGAAAAGGCGGATGATAAAATTAATCATCATCAAAGCCCAAACCAAATTTCTCCATTTTTTAGTTCACATTTGCATAAGAAAAAGAAAATCTATCCAGATGTCTTGGGTAGGCTATGTGTATTAAATTTTGCTTATCCACAAAGGGACCGAGCTTAAAAACACCATGGCTAAAACTACCACATAAACTTTCCAAAGCAAGGGCCTATTTCTTTCATTCATTTGTTTGTTTATTTTAATCTACTTAGCTAACAGGATCAGTAATACCCTCAGCAGCCAGCTTTTCATGCAGTCATAAGGAACTGAACAGGAATTTTCTTGGCTTTCCCTTTCCCTAAAGGGATTTGTTAGAAGCCAAAATGAAGAACATTCTCAAAGTTTTAAACTTGTTTTACAATTAATATAAATAGCTAGAACCTGAATCCCTCCCATCTCATCCCACTTCATACTCCGAATACAGTACTTTTTGACAAATATTGACAAGAGCAGCTTCGATTTTCTGAAGTCTCATCCTCCCACCAGCCCGGCCTGCTGTGAACACATAGCATGTCTTCTCACACTTCCTAGCAGCTCTGCAAACAACACTACCAAAGGCAGAAAGCTCTTTCATTTCCATTCTATCTATCCAAAGCCACGGCAGATGGCTCAGGGGTTGTCTTAAGATGCTCACTTCATAGTTTCCTGCCATGATGAGTTTAGCAAACTTCCTTGATCCTGCAACGTTACAGCGCTCTCCAATGTTAACAAAGTTGGTGTACGGTCCAATCCTGAAGGGCTCTAGACCTTAAAAGGAGAAGCATTTTGAAAAATGTCTGAAAATATATAGAGATGACAGAAGAGAGACAGATACAAATATATCCAATAAGAAAGAAGTTACTGTGCCACAGCCCATCTGGGTAGACAGGAGATACAATGTGGAAACAGTACCACAGCTTCTCCTTCCTCGAGGGAGATTCAAACGCAACACAGGCTTCAGCTACAGGTACAACCAAGAACTCTCAAAAGAAGAACTATTTCAGGGTTTCATGCTGCAAATATCCCTGAAGGGCCAAATCATACCATCCCTGAGAAAGAAGGAAAAATGATCCTCATCTCCATATAGAACCAAAAGTCTGGCAAAAGCCATGAAGAATCAAAAGAGGATTTTGTTCCACAGCTGTCCGCTCAGACATCAGCTTGAAGTCAGATGGAACAAACTTCCTTAATCCCACCGATAGCGTGTTTAGTGCTTTTCTTCATCTCTTTGATGCAGAGGCCAAGACCCATAACCAGCAAGGCTGAACAGGTCATGAGGCAGAGACATGGGAGACAGGAGTCACTGTGGCACATCCACCACTGATGAGCTGACTCGAGGCAAATCACTGGGCTTGTGGCACCTGTTGCCTTATCTCCCCTGACACAAGCCAATTTAGGAGCAAATATCAGACAATACACGTGGACATGTTACACTGAAGTAAAAGCAACATATAGTGTCAAGTATCACTAAGAAAAGGCTCTGGACTATTTTTGTTATACTCATTATATTTAAAGTGTCAGGAGACGCCATCTCCATGGGTGGTTACAGGCAGACCCTGGGGACAGACAGTCTAGGGTTCAAATCACACCTGATGAACAATCAGGCAGCTTCCCACACAGCCTCTGAGCTTATGAAATAGTCAAGTATCTGCCTCATAATGTTATTGTAAAAATGAAACCGGGTAACACTGATAAGCACAAAATTAGCAGCAATAATCATAACTGTCATTAATAAAAGAAAATGGCTGAGTCCCTTGCCAAAGCATTGGCTGAACAAGAAACAGATATGAGGAAGAAGAAAATAAAGAATATAAGCTGGGTAATTATAAAACTATTCCAGGCTATTTGTCCACTGACTGAGAAAACTATCACTTTCCAGTTTCAACTTACGATTTCCCTTCCTGCTGGTAATGATCCTCATGGCTCCAGCATTCCATGCTAGTCTCAGGTTTCCCTGATTTTCAGTGTGACCCTGAGGTTCACAGGACAGGCAAACAGGGATGCCAACAATTAAATGCTCAAGAGTTCTCGTGTGACCTCCTTAAAAGCATTTCACACAAAGTGCTTGATTTGTGTCTGATACAAAAACCACATTTCTCCCAAGTTTGCAATTTATAAGAGAACAATTTTCAAAAGCATGTTTGATGTCATTCTTTTAAAATCTGATTGCAGGTGATTGTTAAAGCAGTTTAGAAATAGTGCATGAAATTCAAATTGGAGAAAAAGGATTCTTTTATTCTTATACATAAATTCTTTTTAAAAAATCATATGTAAACAGCTCTCGTTTCAATTTTTGCAAAGGTTGAGAATTTTCATTGTTAGTGCTTGGCTGAAGTACTGCACACAGCCTTAAGCTCTAGGGATGAAATAAACAAAGTTTCCTGCCACACCTCTCTCGACAAAAGCCACTTTTTTGCTGGGGAGGAGTGGAGGGAGAAAAATCATAAATCATAAATCCCACATCTTCTAATCTCATCCTTTGCCTTCTGGAATTAACAAGAAAAAAGGGCTAGCCAGAACATAGTGGATATTTTTATTAACCCAACTTCATACTCACTCATTGGGATCAATTTGATGCAGTATGTTCTGAGTGAGAAAAGTCAGTATTACTTTTGCTGTCGCTTAAATTTTATTTCACTTTTCTTAGGACAACATAAGAAATAAAAATATTTCAACTTACAGAGAGGTTAAATTCAAAGCTATCAGAGAACATAATTCCGCATGTGTTATCTGGAAGTTCTCTAAAAACCATGATTTTTGTTTATTTTTTTGCTTAAAGCTACCATCTAATACTTCATGAAATTATTAAGGCAAAAATATGAAACGTAAAGTTATTTCTAACAGTTGGCATGATGGTCTATTTTACTAATGTTCTTTCCAATTCGTGAAGAAGTGAGCCTGCCTACCTCACAGGACTGTTGAAAACCAAACAGAAAATACACAGCACAGTTCTTTGTAAAATCCTGAACACACAGAAGATGCAAGGTTACAACAACAATACTTGTTAAACCGAAGAAATTTTCTAGGAGGACGCTACTGCCATTACCAAATATTGGGCCTTGGTAATTTAGAATTTTCAATTACTAGTACTAACCTGACAATTAAGATTTTTAGGCTACGGCCAAAAGTATGTTTCAAAATAGTGCACAGGAGACACAGTCCACAGAATTCTCATCCTAACCAAGGATACTATCTGGGCTAATCACCTGGGATTTCATTCATTTTTACCCTGAAGTTGATGTCTTCTATCCCTACCCCTAGAAAAATAAGGCACTCTTCACTAGAATTTATTTAAGTGCCAAAAAAATTGGACACTTCCTTGACCTAACAAACAAGTTGCTTGGCACAAACATCACCACCACTGAGGATACACATACTAAATAAGTGCTACAAATGGTTTCTGAAATCATAACCACCACATCTTCGTGACTTACCAGATAGTGACATATGTCCTTCAAAAACAGTGACAGGTGGAACTCTAGGCTTACAATTTTTCACAGCTTCAGCAATTTCCCTGAGTTGAAAAAGAGAACACTATATCCATTAATTCAGAATAAATTTAATTAAACTAATTTCCAACAATGAAATTAAGTCTATTTAACATAACTGTGCACATAATGATATACCTACTTACAAATGTGCAGCAACAATTATGCCTTTTAGTTTTCTCAGTAATGCAGAAAATTAATCTATAAACTTTTAACTTTTATGCACCTGCACAGTCAGCTGTGCACGGCTATGCTGTTTCTGCTCTCAGAGACATGAACCTGGAGCTGCGTGAAAGTCTACGGACAGCAAACTTCCCCCTTCACCAAACTCAGAGATGTCCTCTACTCTAATCCACACACAAAATATGTCCTTGCTTCTTACTCAATACTTTAACAGAAAAAGGGCTTCCACTTTGAGAAGGAAAGGCAGACAGGAGCAGAGGGGCTAGGAGTAGAGGGCACTGGGTCCTGCGGCTCTGTGTTTGCTACAGCATGCACACGGCAGGGAGGGCACATAGCAGTAAAGCACCACAACTCCAAAGCAATTACTCCTAAAAAGTCTGTTTAACCATTCACACTCTCTTTAACCTTATCAGCTTTAATGAATCGTGTTCTTGATCAACCAGGAAAAATCTAGCTATTCCACTAAATTTATCAGGACCAGTAAGAACTGCTCACTCTACAGCACCCCAAATTAGTATGTGGATGCCTAAGTAAAAGCAGCAAATACACAGACAGCCTGCTAGCTACAGACAGTTACAGATACACAAAAACACACGTGCACAGGAGTATTTTTAAAAACTCATCTTTTTAATGAGGAAATAACCTTAAAAACAAAAAGATAGCCCATGATCCAAAGATGAGCTATAGTCAACTATAGATAGCTTTCAGATATTATTTAAAAGATGTTTAAAAATTGCATTTATTAAGAATCTATCAGAGAAGTCAACAAAAGCAGTGAACTACCAGGGAATTTAGTAAAGTGAACATGTTACGTGCATGAAAACAAACTTGGAACCAGTAAGATGACTGCCTCAAAAGATGATCACAAGTCAATCCTGAGGGAAAAAACCAAATATCAACAGTCCTAAACTATGTTTTATTTCACTCAATTCCAATCTTCCTATAAGCCACAGACTGGTAAGGAATTAAACGCATACACTGCTATACCCCTGTTTCATTACCTTCCTTCACACACTCACTTGAAAATGTAAATTAAGCAAGGACTCTGCATGGGGCAAGGTGAAGACATTTCTGTTGACCTCTAGACACTGTTGTCTTACTGTTTTTTCCTTCTATGAGTAAATCCAATGGAGGCATGTATTTGTCCACAGAAATATGAGCTGTCCTTCCTTGAGCATGTGAATATTATTCAGGCATTTAAGGGTAGAATATCATATCTGGGATTTGCTTTACAATATTCCGGGGAAAAAAGGTGGGGGATCGATAAAATAAGAATGGTTAAATGTTAAAAATTATGGCAACTATGTGGCACGTGGAGGTTTACTTTATTATTTCTCTACTTTTATTTTGAAATTTTTCATAATATAAAGGTATATTAGTTTGCTAGAACTGCCATTACAAAATATCACAGACTGGGTGGCTTAAACAACAGAAATTTGTGGTCTCACAACAAATTCTGGAGGCCAGAAGTCTGAGATCAAGGTGTCAGCATGGCTGTTTCTTCTAAGGTCTCTCCCTGTGGCTTGCAGATAGCTGTCTTCTCCCTGTGTCTTTACATGGTCTTGCCTCTGTGTGTGCATCTGTATCCTTTTTTTGGAAGGACACCCGACACATTGAATCAGGGTCTACTCATATGACCTCATTTACTTTAATTACCTCTTTAAAGGCACAATCTCCAAATGCAATCACATTTTGAGATACTGGGGGTTAGGACATCAACATATGAATTTGGGGGGGCATACAATTCAGCCCATACCAAAAGGTAAAATATTTAAAGGGAATTATTACCTGATATGATCTGGTGTTGAACCACAGCATCCACCTACTATATTGACCAAGCCATCCATAGCAAACTCCTGCGTTTAGGAAAAGACAAAGATGCAGCAAGTTCATATGAATTCTAAACTCACCACCACCAATTCACCATAAAAGCCATCTACATTTCCTGAATGACTAGGATTACACTAAAATGAGAGCTAAACATACCCAACTCTAGATATAAAGATTTCACATGCCCAAGACTTAAGGATAAAAGTGGAAAAGAGGTCTGATACTATGAAATCCCTTATACCACTTAAATAGTAAAGGGAGACTTATTTGTCTGTCTATTGATATTAAAGATTTTTTTTTAACTCATATGCTGATCTGAATGAATGTGAGCTAGATAATACATTTTCAAATAACACATAAAATGAATATAACTTTTTACATTTAAATTAATAAAAAATTTTTTAAATAAAAAATTCAGTTTCTCTGTCACACTAGCCACATTTCAAGGGCTCCAACAACCACATGTGGTGGTGGCTACATATTGGACAGCATGGGTCTAGAGTTTAACCACAGGCTAGTGAGGGAAGGACACGGTAATTCATAGAGTAAGTCAAGGAACTGACAAGTCAAAGGATTGGAAAGATCAACCACAAAAGAGACTGAAATCATAAGAATTCAGTCAGAAAGAGTTTAGAAGAGAATGTCAGTAGGCCCAGAGCTAAAAATCAAGGATGAAGGAAAAAAATCGACTAACCCTGGGGTTAGCAGATAAGTGTAACGAGGAGCAGTTGTGGGTGGTGTGGTCTCATGACCAAGAAATTTAAAAAGATGGCACAGAGATAACGATGGAGGTGATGTTGGGGCTGGGCTGGAGGACATCTATTCCACCCAGCAGTATGAGGGGTGTGAGGGGAGAAAGCCCTTGAGAGGGTTGTAGAGGAAGCAACATCTCAGAGCAGAGCCAAGCATCAATTAGTTTGGGGTGAACCTCACTGGGAATTTTCCACCAGTCACCAGTACCAGCTGGGGAAAAGGATGCTAACAGATAGCCCTTCCCCATGCCTCCACCACGCAGCTAAATTTTATTACATATATACTGGGATTTCGGTGGGTGGAAATTCTGCTTCTGAATATTCTAACTCTAAAATTCTATGTCTTAATCTCTTAAAAACCCAAGTGAGAGCGGATGCCTGACCTTCAGGTGCATGGCCATCATGGCAGGTGTTTCATCATAGTCACCAAAGGTGTTGGGGAGACCTGAGAAAGAATATTTCAACCATTATTCGAAACCACCGCAACAAATATGCCCCATATTTCTAATGGCTTTAGCTTAAAAGTAATAAAATTTTGTATTTATAATTAAATGGTAATTACTTACAAAAACAAATAAGACATAATATTTACATAGTAAACACAGAGATACCACACGAAAAAAAAATCACGGACGAAAATAAACATTCACTATTTCTTTTGCATTTGAAAGAAGATTCACTGCTATATGGGACAGAATGACCCCACCCCATAACGGAAATTCATTCTTGTTACCTAGATGTTTGAGGGTGGGGGTGGGGGAAGTACTACATATCCTCTAAACTAATGAGCAACTGACATGCAATTAAAAACAAACAAAAACAAGCATTCTCCTTTCAAATAAATTTTCCCAAGTAAGACTTTAGCCTCTAACTATACAGTTTACCATTTTTTTTTATTATCCCTTTCCACAACTATCTTATTCCTGGTGGGAAATAAAATTTATTGTGCATCAAAAAGTATACATTTGGGGGCCGGCCCGGTGGCGCACTGGATAGTGCGCCGCTTGGGAAGCGTGGCGGTGCTCCCGCCCGAGGGTTCGGATCCCACATACAGACCGGTTCCCGCCCACTGGCTGGGCG